CTGTTAAAGCCCGCGGATTATGCGCACGGATTATGCCCTCTAGATTTCCTTTCTTAGTTAGCGAACACCTACGCTATACTAAATCGAGCGCGGATTGTGCATAATCCGTCGCCTTATATTGGCTAGGTTTCTAACTATAGTAAGAATAACGTAGAATAGTATCAAGGTTAAGTTTAAGTAATAATTAAGATTCTATATATAAGTCTATCTAGATACTTATAAAGGTTTTAATATTTCTTATATAAGCTGCTTACCTAATATAGAGCTAGGCTTAATTAGGTAGAGATCGCGAGTTTAATTCTTTACATTTACTTAGAGCTAGTAGCTTTAAGCACGTTCTCTAGAGTAGATAAGTAGAGTATTTTAATTCTATTTATAATTACTTTAGATTTTTATAATAGAGTACGTTATAGAGATTTGATTTTATAGATCTAATCTACTTCTAATAACTATTCTATAGTGCGCGTAACTAACATTCGCGTAATTACGTAAAACTTAAGCACTGCGTCTCTAATACATCGTCTTAACCTTAATACATCGTCGCGACTCTAACAAACTCTTGCGAACGCGTCGCGACTGTGTCGAACTCTCGCGAACGCGACGCGAACACAAACACTCCCCGACATACTTGCTTATCGCATAGGCATCGGGACAGGGTTAACGCAACTCTGCCAGGACGAGTTGTGCGAACCGGAGACCTTAAACTCTCGTCAGCGCAGCCTCTCTCTTCATCGAAGCTACTCACATTAAAAGTCGTCGCGTACGGGTCCCAGGTAGGGTCCAGGTGCGGCGCATACTCAATTACGTTGAGCAGGTAGTTGAGTGGTTGCGCGCCGTAGAATCTGCTCAAGAGGGCGTATGTCGCATCGAGACCTTTGTCATGTCAGTAATCGCGCCGTCGACGCCTCCGCGATGCGGTCCTTCCGATTGCACATACTTGACGCGGTTCCCGACGTAGTCCAGATAGTACCGTCCTCGACCCAGCGCGCTTGCGGCACCCACGTCACGTTCGGTCCGCGCTCCGTTATCCACGCCCACCCAGACTTGTTCGTTGTCGCCTTCTTGCCGTCGAGTACACCAGCGCTCGCAAGCGTCGCTACGCCGAAGCTTACGCCGACCAGGTACTCGAGCGAAGCGAGGCGCATCTTGACAAAGTCTGCCACCCCAGTGTCGTTGTTTTGGTCTAGGGTCACAACGCCGAGCCCACCGGGAACGAAGAGGATATCGAGCGCCGGCGCGTTCTTGAAGTTGTGGGTTGCTTCTACACGAGGCGCGATGACGTGTCCGAAGTCGGTTGGCGGCATGCTGTAGTCGTCAGGGCCGTATGGCTGCATGCCAGCGGGCACAAGGCCAGTCTCTTCGGCGATGACGGAGAGGGTCATCTTGTTGAAGGCCGAGAGCTACATGGACGCTGTCAGCGCTGAGACACGAGGACTGTGAGTATCGTTGGGTTCATACAATGGTCAGCATCTCCATGGGGCCAAAAACATCCAGGAGCTCAAACCCGGGAAAGATGACCTGGAAACGGTAAGCGCATGAGGTCTATGACTTACGAAGATATACGTACGAATCCGACGGAGAGGGTACGCATGGTGTTGAGCTCGGGTGTGAAGACGGGCGATGAGCTGTTTCCTGCTTGACACACCGCCGAGGGCAGCAAACAGGAGGCGAGCGCCACAACCTGTCCAAAGAATCTGAGATTCATGATGTATCGTGAGTCCTGCGAACGAGCTAAGAGACAGTCGGCGTTTGTGATACTGAGTAACCTCCGATTCTCAACACCTGCCGAGCACGTGGCGAACAAGGTACTGTGAAAGAGTTCTTATATCCTCGCGCTCGCTGCGCACAGGCGTTTCGTCACTTCGCTACATCTATTCCACAACAGCGCCATCTCCAGTCTCGACCTAGCCGCCATGATCCTTTGAGTCTAGGCGGGCGCGGCAGACAAGCCGAAGAAAGGGAAGAGGAGACGGGACGAAGATTCCGCTCAATTGAAGCGAACGAGGGTAAGAACCTGCAGGAACTCCCTCGCCGGGCGTAAAAGAGTGCTCGTGCGGAAGGCTTACATTCAGCATCACGACAGTGCTGCCTGCGCGGATTTGAGCACGTTTGCGGAACGTGAGCGAATATGTTTCCCGTAGCGTTCAGCCACAGCGATCCGTCAAGCAGGTCGCAAACATGGCAGCTTTGCCGTGAGAACCCTTAGAAGACGATCTCTACATTGTCGTGTCGAGGTGGAGGAGGTTGTGTATCGTAAGTCTCCGGCGCCAAGGGCTTTGCCCAGGTTTGACAGCGGCCAAGCGAGCTGCCGCATGCCGACCAATCGAAGACTCACCACCTCCCCTTCTGTTACAACAAAGTTCCTTCGGCTTTGGGCGGTGTCGGGCTCGTGTTGTCAGGCAAGAAACCTCAAACATTTACGCAATACTTTCCATGGATCAGAACAGTGACTCGTGGACGGGTTCGCTCGCCCTGGAAGTTGACGAGATGCGCCACTCGCTTGCCAGGCGCGTAATCAGGAAGGGCTTTTCAGCTGAACATCGTGTTTTGGCAATGCTGGCAGCTGTCCTGCCCCGCCTTTCTCCTCTTCCTCGCTCAACCGCAAGATCATCCTCGACTTTGGGGCTCGTGGCAGCGGCACCTTGTATCGCATCAGGAACGCATCGCTGTCGCGCGACAAACGCGCAGCGACACCCACTTCGCGCGCCATTGTCACTCACTCGCGATGTCCGGCGCTCCACCGGCGCTCCCTCCCCGGCCTCAGAAGCCGGTGCCTCCACCATCTGGCTGGACCGAACACATGTTCTACACGAACGGATCGCCCACACCCGCGTTCGAGGCGTTGATGAAGCAGTTCTTCGCGAAGCTTGATCCCAGAGGCACCGGGTACATAACGCCAGAGGCATTCTCGAGTTTCGCAGAGGTATCGCGCTGCCCGGATCCTGACAATATTTGTAAGTACTCTGCTACGCGCGGGCGAACAGTTCACTGTACGCAGGTTGCGCAAGAACGACTGCTGACTCTCCCGTGTTTTGACGGTAGGGAAGAGAAGTCTTACCCATGGCGGCATGTTCGCGAAAGAAGACATGGCAGACTATGAGTTCAAAAACGTGATGGAAGGCTTCTTCTTCGACCACAAGGTCGTGACGCGCAATCCGGGCGCGCCGCAGCTACCATACGGCGGTATGCCTCTGCTCAGCTTGGCCGGATTCACAGATTGGATTGGATTCAGTTGCGCGGCGCATCCCGACGGCATCTTTGTGGTCCCTGGGTTGAATAACGCGCTGCGGGTTTACAATGTCTGGCCGGAGCGTGGGCCCTTACCGCGATACGTCTTTCCTCCATGTCGACCAATCGAGGTACAGCAGCGCATGGATCAAGCGACACAGCGTTGCAATATGAACGCGCAGCAGAAGCTCAGAGCGACTCAGTTGGAGGCTGAGATTAAGGCGCAGGGCCGAGAGCATGCCATTGATCTGGTGAGTGATACGTATCGAGTCTATCGGTACTATTGAGATTGTAACGCGAGCGTGTGTGGTATGTTCTTCCCTTTGCCCTTCTCATTCTTCGTCCCGCAACTCAGTAGTTCCATAATGCCGTCGTATAGCAGATCAAATACATTCCTCCTTGTTGTACTCCAAGGCTTCGCATGGTCATCGAGTAGCCGCAAGCTCCGACGGCGGCACATGCGGCGATGGAAGTTCCTGCGACCAAGTTGGGGTGTTGTTGTATGACTTTGTATCCCGGTCACCTGCGTGATGCGCCACTGCAACACCAGGTGGCTTCTCGTACTGCTGCGCTTCAGCTTCGGGTTGATAACTCATCCTGGTATTCATGTCCTTCGTCTTGCGACGGTTACGGTAGAATAAGAATGCCGCTGCTGCGACAAACAATGCGCCCACCGCGACACCAGCACCGATACCAGCCTTGGCGCCAGTCGATAGGCCGCCGCCGCTATTTACACCTGCTGCGGTAGCATCGGTCGGCCCTGTGGGCGTGGGTGTCGACGGGATCGATGGTACTGTGCTAGCAGGGCTCGAGATTGCGGTCGTAGATGACATCGGCATTGGCATTGGCGTTGGCGAAGATGATGTTTCGGGGTTCAACGCTACAGTCGAAGACAACGCGAATATCGATGCGGCTTGAGAAGAGGTGGCGGAGGTAACGCCTATCGTGGCACCCCCGATATTACCGGCGCCCGCTTCTTCGATCGAAAGTATGCACCCTGCGGGAAGAGACCAGTCATCAAATTGTCGGGACAGGTAGATTGGCGACCATTCTTTGGTTCCGTTCTGATTGATATCTAAGCTGAAGGCTGGATTCAATGTTAGCGAAGTTGCGATGATAAGAGAGGCTGTGATGGATCGCACTTTCTCCCTGCCCTGCTTCGATGTCGCCTCGTTCATAGCATTGGATCACGAGGGTATTCGCAAAGGTCGACCACCAGTCTACATTCACTGAGTCATCGACATTGAGGACCACATGATGCTCCTCGCGCGGATAGTTGAAGGCGCCTGACATATCCAGACGCTGTCGGCGTTGCAAGCTGAACGAAGGGTAGAGATAGAGAAAGTGGAGAGTCGAACGGAAAGGTTGTTGTACGCCAGTGCAGCAGCTGCAGCAGCAGCTTTGTAGAAGCCTGCGATCCGCCTATCTCTACCTCGCATATATCTAGCTTTATTGCCAGCAAGTCTTTTGCAGCCTCGAACGATAGCGCGCGAATCCCGAGGCGAAGTGGCGTGAGGCTGAGAGCGCAGTGTAGCGAAATGGCCCCCATTCAGCATACTAACGAATGTACAAGGGAGTTTGTTTTTCGCGATTACGAAAGGAGAGCGACGCCATGTTGAAGCCACAAGCAACCGACATGCCATGTTCTGTCGTTGCCATTATGTGGAGTGGGTCCACGATGCAGCACGATGCGGAACATTACGCCGCAGGCCTGGGCACGGTGGTAGAAGTTGGGGCGGTTTCGCGCATCGTCAAGCTGGCATACGCCGTTGATCTATGATACCGAGTTTCGTCACATCGTGAGTCCAGGTGGATTGGCGCAAGAGTCATTTTGGGCGTTCGTTGTTGAGGGGAGCTCAAGATTGCTTCTGCGAGGCTGAGCCGTAGCCGAAAACGCGGGTGGTGCCACCTCACACATGGGCTGCGCCATACACTTGGCATCATCGCTAATTGGCGGGCTTCAGAAGCACAGCAATCCAGACATGGCTTCTGGGCTTCACGCTCGAGCCCGAGTCTTTTTGAGAGAAACCTTGGGCACGCGCGTTGCGGGGGTTGGAGAGTCGGAGATGGTGGTTGACCAGGGCTGCTGTCGCATCGTGTGGGGTTCACACACGCGTCTGAAGAGTGGTGAGAGGCATTCCCAGTCGAACTGACTACACTTTCCGCTTCCATTGTGTAGTCATGACCATGAGGGATGTGCAAGCGGAGCAATTGAACGAACGACAACAGGGTAGTATTATGACACAGAACTAGTCAAGAGACCCTGCGAATGCGACGCGCAATACTAGCAGCCGTTAAACCCTAAGCGCACGTCTAGGAAAGCTGCACCGGTACCTGCGGCGAAGAATGAACCTGCGACATTGTAGCCTCGCTGTACGGCCTCTCGTATCCATTGCTTCCATGAGGCGCGACCGCAACACCCGGAGGCTTGTTGAATTGTTCGGCCTGAGATTGGTAGCTAAGTCGTGCGTTGAGGTCTTTTAGCTTGCGATGGTTGCGGTAGAACAGGTATGCAGCCGCCGCGACAAGCAACGCGGAAACACCAATACCGGCGCCGATGCCAGCCTTCGCTCCTGTGGACAGGCCAGCACTGTCGCTCGAGGTTGTGGTGACGACTGGGTTGGTGGGCGTCACGGTTGGCGGTGCTGTATTGCCTGTGTTGGCGGGGGTTGATGCGGTGCCCGAGGCCGGCGCGCTTGTCGTGGTCCGCTCATACGTGACGGTCGACGACAAAGCAAAGATCGATGCGGGCTGAGTTGCAACGGAGCTTATGGTGACTGAAGAGGCGTAGATAGTCGTGGTTCCACCTCTCTCATAGAACTTGATACCGCACTCGACAGGCTCGCTCCAATCTTTCACGTCCTGCTCCAGCATTGGCAGCGACAGATCTTGCGTGCCATTCTGCGGAATGTCGTACTCGTATACTAACATCTCGTCAGGTCAAACATGATCTTGAAGATATGTTGTGAGGGCCGCACTGTAACCTAGATCTGGGTTGTTGTCGTTCTCATAGCACCAGAACTGCAGTCGCTCGGCAAATGTTGACCACCACGACACCTCCACCTTGTCATTGACATTGACATAGAGTGGAACGATCGGATAGTAGAAGTCTCCAGACATGTCGGAGAAGTTTTTGTGCGGATCTTCCGGTACGAGGCAAAGTGTCGCGATCTAGAGCTGAAGCAGGCAGGGCAAGCGGGCAGCCGTCAGCAAGTGCAAGGGGCATACCTTTATACTTACGCGCAGCAAACCTATCTTCGGTTTCTCGTACGCTAACAGCAGCCTGGGCCGACTATTGCGAATCACGATGCGAAGTGGCGCAAAGCTGTGGTATCATACAGCGAAATGGCCCCCGATCGACACACGCTTGATGCCCAGGGACTATTTTCACTTCGCGCAACGAATAAAATGACTGTCAGGCGCAATGACATGGCCATGTGACCTGTGATACGACACTTCGTCAATAGCTGCGGGAAGTGGAATTCTCTATCGCAGTGTTGTCGATTGGCGGACAGCCTGGTGCGGGAAAGAAAGTCGCGAGCCCTGGACGAAGTCTAGAAGAGTTGCAGCGTCGTCGCAAGTCTTGAAAGCAAGAGAATATAGAAGGATATGAGCTTTAGCGACATGATGGGTTGCGCTCGAAATATCCTGATGGTGAGATGTTTCGGGTCATCTGGGTGGGCAATAGGTGCACCAACACTGACAAGGCTGAAGTTGGACCAGAAGGCTGAGCTACAGCAGAGGCACCGATTACCTTGCATGCGCTGTGCCGCTCGCTGAGCTCCTTCTTCTACCGACATATCACGCGCGTGAGAAAAAGCTGCAACGACTCAGACTAGCCTCAACCGACGTACGTTGAGCGTCCCGCTCTTCAGCTCGTCTGCGATCTCGCCATTCATTTGGCCATGTACAAAGCCCTCGCCGACAACCTGCCACGCAGCTTGCAAAGCCACTTTCCGCAGGACAAGCGGGATGCTGCATCCGAACAAGATAGCCACGACATCGCCCGGCCTTGCGCGACACGGCGCCATGCCAACGTAGCCTTGTTCGGTGACCATCAGCCGGCGCGCTTTCTTCCGCACAGTATCGTGGAAGCGTGAGAGAAAGGTATCGAGCTTGTCGTTCATCTGATGTACGGGATGCGACGGTGGCCGATGCAGTGTTGGGGCAGGTGAAGAAAATTTGGTGGGTATCTGTCGGACTATGTCTTCGAGCGACATGTTGCCGAACATCACATGACGGTTGCGCTCAAACCATGTTGCAAAGCTCCAGTCGACAGGATCGCCGTCAACACAGGCATGACAGAGGAAGAGGAAGTCGCTGATGTAGTGCGATGGCGCCTGGAAGCAGAGGTATTTGTCTCGACGGTCGATAACCAAGGACCGCGCTATAGCTTCAAGCCACTCAGCAGGCTGCTTTGCGACTCGCGAAGCACTATGCTGGTATTCTTGCGACTGCATCAAGTCATGACCGGCCTCGCGGCAGACAAAGCTCTCGCATCGCAATTCGCGCTCGTCAAGCCCGCCGAGCCCGTGAATAGTGTCCAACACGACACCGTTGCAGTGGAGTTCCTTCAAGTCCTCGGAAAATGAAACATCTGCTTCTTTCCTCAGTGTCTCTCCAGGAGCATCGTAGATTGCTTTCCAGCGTGTTGATCGTAGCGGTCTGAAGTTTCCAATGTGCTCACACGCACTTTGGCTTGCCATCAGCGGCACAGGCGAAGCGAAGTCGATTGTCGTCCTCCAGTCCGGAGACCAGGTAGGCACAGGATCTTCGACACCGGGGTCGCTGACTGCGGCGTTAGGACAGAACAAATGCGCGAAGCAGACGATATCCAGGGACCGATGGACGGTCCAGAAGGAGCGAACGAGTCGTGCAAATTGGTGCGCAATACTGGTGGTATATTCGGCAGGTCCGATGAGCGCTCGGTCTTGTTCAGTGATCAAACCTAGCACGGAGTAAATGCGATCTCTACTGTCGGTGGCGGAGTGATTACCCAGGTACGCCATGATGGCGATCAGGTTGATGCCGATCGAGGCTGGCTTGGTGTGCCATTGATGAATGCGGCGGCGATTGAAGGCTCCATCAAAGAGCTTTCGCGGAACAAGCTCGTGTTCAAAGTCCTTGCTGATGGTGCTGCAAAGGAAGATGCTATAGATGGCGCTTTTGAATCTTCCGCGACTGATACTATCCACGCCACAGTAGAGTTTCGCCTCCTTTGGCAAGACAAACTCTTGTAACGTCCAGACCCTTGTCCACCACGGCCTGGCGAGAAGATTACTGACGGCGGCACACTTATCGGTGAACTCTGGGTTCTCGAGTTTCTTGCGCATGGCAAGGTCGTCCCCATTGAACCCGATCTGCAAGGTGGACAGGTAGTGCATGAAGTCGATGGCATCGGTGCAGTCGCTACCGTCTTCTTTCTCCTCACCCAGCCAGACTATTGCTCGCCTGGCTCTTTTGTAGATGTCTGCCATGATGCGCACCTGTTTCTCGCGTTCGCTGGGATCATCCAAGTTGATGCACAGCGAGTCAATCCACCACCAGTCTGTGGTCTTGAAGTCGCCATGGCGGGTGACCATGTGAATAAATGGTACCAGGCTGTTTAGTATGGGTAGTCCTCCGGTCTTCAGATTAATCTTTGCACCTTTGTACTTGCGCTCGCCCCACACATAGCTGGCTGTGTAATAATGAGGGGCGCTGGCGATGGCGAACTTCTGCAGCTTGCCAACGAAGACGCCATCTTCTGGCTGCGAGAACCGGAGAAGACGAATAGAGCTCTCATCGACGGGTTCTGGGAAGACTGTGGTTCTGACTGGCGGTCGCGCGTCAAGTTCCATAGGTGTGCATGCTGCGAGATGGTAGGTGGGACGGTGTGCATGGCCGCGGGAGTGGCTGGATTGACGCCCCGCTTAAGCTCGGTCTTGGCGGCTGACCCAAGCCCTTGCACCTCGAAAGCCGCGCAACGACATCGGAACAGCGGAACAGAGCAGTTTTTCGACCGAGAGCAGTACAGCTTCGACTGGGCATCTTTAAACTACATACCGCCGCTCTCACATGTCAAGTATCCTGGTCCACTCACCCGTTCTTTCAACGTCCTGCAGCGCACTCTTACTGGCAACCCAATTCTGTCCCTTAGTCCTATCATACCAGACCCTTAACACCCCATGTTCGGCCACCCAATCGAGACCATACATCTCCTGCATATACTCCACCTGGGCCATGATGCAGAGGTCCGCTAATGTGACGTTTGCGCCATCACCACTCAAACTTTCGCTCTTGTTGCCAACCACGTCTCCTTGTATCCGAGCCTCCAACCGCGACAAGAGCATGTGGAACTTGCCACGCGCATGCTTTGCCGCGCTCTCACTCATCTCACCCTCTGTCAAGCCCGACCAGGACAACGTGTTCGGATCCGAATGTACAAGCGCGACGTTGCTCCAAGTGATGACATCGGAGAGCAGGCTCAAGATGTCTCTCGTCCGAGCCCGTTGTTGGATGGTTGCGCCCCTCACGTCCAGATACCCATTGTCCACGCTGAAGACTTCTTCGAAGTACTCCATTATCGCATTCGACTCGTATATCCAGAAGATTGTGCCATCGGCGTATGTGATGCGCAGTGCCGGCACCGAGGTTCCGGTAGGACGGGCTTCGAGGCCGGGGTGGGGGACGAGGTCTGGCGTCGGCGCATCTTTGTCAAGAAAGATGGGGATAAGACGTATGTTCTTCTCGTGAAGCATCGAGGACGTAATGTTCTTTGCGCGGAGGTAGTAGATGATCCGGCGCGGGAACAGGCCCGTCGGCCAGAGCCAGACGGTTGTTTCATGCTGCTGGTTCTGCGACGACATGGTAAGTTGGGAAGGGTGAAGTTGTAGAGTGACCAGACTCATGCGCGTGCCGCATCTTTGGTTTGGCTTCGTGATACGTATATATACATCCCTACATGTACAGGATGGTCAAAAGGAACGGAAACTTTTCGCATACTTCAGGGATTCTGCCGACGTTGAGCCATCTCGAGGGCTGATTACTGTAATGTTTCCGAAGGTTGTCCACCGCGACGCATCATTCCGGAGACTTGAACAAGTCGCCGGGTGCTGGTGTAAAATGATGTCTTCCGATCATAGTGTCAGAATTCCCGTCGGTTGATACCGCAACAGGTTAGGTAAATGCGGACATCTCACGGCCAGCATCGGAATGCGCACAGGTGGTGGATGGAGTGCAGGAGGTGAGACGGCGCGCGAAAGCTCGGGCAAGGGCGGTCGAACCCGTTACGCGCTAATCCTTGGCGGCCCTCATCACGCCCGCACGCCCGCCCGCAGCAACACGACGTATCACAACACACCATTGTGTTGAGACAAACCGTCTGTCCATTCCACCCTACTCTTCCTCATCCAGTGCTGCACGAAGACGCGCAATGCGTGAGGCTTGATGTCAGCAGTCGCTTCGTCATCCCTGCGCAATGTTTCTTGCCATGCCGATCCAATCTCGTGTTCATCACCAGGAATACTGCCTACAACGCTTTCGTGCTACACCAACACGATGTCACATGATTAACAGCTATATCGCTACTCTACACGTCTGCCTCAATCCCACTCACACATAAGCCAACCCCTCCAAATCAATCTCCTCCCTCCTCCGCCTAAACCTCAGCCTATTCCCTTTCCTCAGCGCCTCCGTCTCGCCAAACAAGAACCTCGATTCCAGATCCGTCCCCTCCGCCAACTGCCAATCGTACTTGAGCAGCAAATGGCACAGGGCAATCTTCATCTCATTCGCAGCGAAGAACCTGCCTGGGCAGCCCTGTGCGCCATGTCCAAATGACAGATTACTGGGACCGGTGGAAACGAGATGCGCTTGGCTGACTGTGGTGCGGTCGGTGCTGGTGCGCATGCGCTGGTAGCGGTATATGTCGTATCTGTGTGGATCGGGGTAGACGTTGGGGTCTGACATGTTGAAGCCGTCGACGGCGATTTGCTCGCCTTTTTTGATGACGAGACCGGAGGGGAGGACGACGGTGCGTTGGGCTTGACGGCGCATTGTTACTGGGGCAGGGTCAGTTTGGGGTTCTTCCCCTGTCATCGAGTGGACGACTTACGGAATGCAGCAGGCCTGTACCGTTGCGACTCCTTCAGCGCGCTGTCCATCAACGTGAGATTTGCGAGCGCCGCTTTGGTCAGCCCGTCGGCTGTTAGTACCCTCACGATTTCCTCCCTTAATGCCGCAACGTAGTGTGGTTCGTTCGCCAGCAAGGTTATAGCATGCGTTAGCAGCTCGCTGGTTGTATGTATCGCTACGAACGATAGCGCGATCTGGAAGAGAGCTGGGTCGTACCCTTTCCCGCCGCTCTTCTGCTCGAACCAATCGATCATGTCGTTGAAAACAGGTTCCGGTTTGCCGTTTCTCCTAGCTTCGGCTTTTAGAGCTCGACGTTCGGCGAGAAGAGGTGTAAGGATTGCGCGGCATGTGGCTCCGTGTTTGAAGACGTCCTTTGCTTCGGAGGAGAACCAGGGGACGAGGAACTTCAGCGAGGATGGGAGGGCTGTCATCTTGAGAATCATGGTGAAGCTTGCTACCGTGTAGGCCTTGGAAGCTTCGAGCCACGCCGTGTTGCGGCACATGGTGTCGCCGAGGAAGACCCTGGTGGAGAGACGGGCGATCAGTTGGAGAATGCTGTCTGCTATAACGGTTTCTCTCCATTCTGCTAGGTGGTTAGCTCGTAATGCTTATTTGAGACGAATAGCAAAGTCATCTCACCCGTATCTTGGCCGAATATCACGTCGAGAGCATGACTGGCTTCTTCCGAGAGAGGCTTTGTTAAGAAGTCTTAAAGAGTCCCGTTAGCTTCACATCATACTTGTAGTCGTTTGCTTCTTACTTAGGTATTTGGTAAGTTGGTCCTTCACTACGTTTTGTACAAGTCTTTGTTCGTGGAGCAAGACGGCATACATTTCGAAGCCGGAAACGTGTCCCGAGAAGTTCTTTTCTATTGCCTGTGCAAAACTAAGATCCATGCTGTTACGGATCGTTGCCGCATACTCAGGAGGTAGGATAAGACATTCGCCCGTGTCGACAATCAGCCTATAGGGCTGCTTGCCATAGCGTTTCCTCGCGTCGCTCAGTATTGCTCTTCCGTTCTTGAGGAACTCAATTCGTTTTGATAGGGTGGTCTGGTTCCAGCGTGGAGGATTTGCTAGCGGATGTTTCTGTTTTCCGCTGGTGCTAACGACGACCGAGAGTACGCCTATAAGCCCTAGCAAGATGGCAATCATTGCTGGGAAAGACTGCGCCATGGATACTAGGGACAAGTTTGACGGGGCATATGGGACTTGTGGTAGCCCGTCAATCGACATGTTGGACAGCATCTTCACTGCGAATGGTTGGACCAGTGCGTAAAAGAAGGCGCATCAAGTAGACTTATACGGCAGTCTGTGATCAAAGACACTGACAATCCCTGGCGTCACGAACGCTGATCCTGAAAGAAAAGTCTTCATCACGATAAGCTTGGTGGGCTCTTGTCCGGCAATGTCCTCTATTCTGAGCGTATCCGTGACTTCGTTGTAGACTGAACCTAGTCGTGCGTCCACTTTCGACGCTGTAACAATCCACTTTGAACGATACGCCAACCCACTGTGGATGCTGTATCGACTCAGTTTGAACGCTGTATCATCCCACTTTGGACGCTGTGTGAACCCACTCATGAGTCGTAGTCCACGAGAGCGATAACCTCTTCATTCAAACGAAACACCATGATCCTAAGGCTTCTGCTTATACCTGTATTGTATGAGTTATACATGCCGTGCGCATTATCTTCTTCTGTTCTGTTACGATGATGCAAACTAACTGTAGCCATCTGCAACTTCTACAACACCTTCAAGGTCGTGATGTAGATGTGAAGGATTTCTCGGATCGTCAAAACGGAAGGTCAAACGATGCCCCGTTGTTCTGAATCCTACGTCATAGACCACGCCAGCAAACCCCCTTTTCTTTTGTCGTGGTTGCGAAATGCGCAGAGAAGTATTCACCGTTGCGATAAAGGTGGAGCCATAGTGGGGACCAGGATACCATAACAGCGTGTGCGGAACCTGCTGACTGACTTGGTCCAATGAGATCGTAGCAAATTTGAAATGCGCATAAATTATCTGCATTTTCGCTCGCGCTTTCATGCGATCGCAATTCTGTGAACTTTTCAGCACCACCCTGCACCGTTGGATAGAGACGTGTTGGAGGAGGCGCGTAACGCGGCGCTAGCACGCGAGTGCCACTTTTCTCATGACCTCCCAACCCAAACACAGACACGCATTCACAGCAGGTATCTTCTATCTCTGATCACGCGCGGACCAGATATTGGAGGTATACATCAGGCGTTCAACATATACCCTTCACTATAGTCCTTGACATGGAATACCTACCTGCGTTATTCCCGTTCTGTGATGCTATACAGCACGCCTTCGCTATACCTCCTTCTTATGACACAGAACGTCTCGGATAACAACTATGGTGTCGTTTGCGCGTCTTGATTACACTGCGCTTCCCCCTGGAGTTCCCAGTACCGCGTCAAGCGGAGGAAGAATCCTGCACAACGATCCACACACGTCCCACTGTGGTATAGACTCCAGGTTCAGGTATAAGAAATCAACCCTGTCAAAAGCACGAGTAGAAAAACATCATATCGCATTAAGCCTATCTCAACAGCTATGAAAATGACCCCCAAAGCACGCACCATATTAGACGGGCCCATACACCCTGACGAACAAATACTCAACACGATACATGATCTCTTGTCCTCCTCGGCATTGCATTCCTCGATTCTATCGAACTGGCCCATGAGCTCATCTCATTCATTCCGCTTAGTACATTGGGTCGCCAACGGCTGTGATAGATGCGGTGCATACACCATTCTGGCAGTATCCGGCGGGCGTAAGCCAGCCCCACAGTTCTAGTCAAAGTTAGCGTCGAGCTGTGATGTGAGGATGGATGAAGACCTACCAACTGACTGTCCATTCTGGAAGATGGCATTGGCCGCACCCGAGATGGTCGCAGAGCAGACTTGTGTACCGCTGAGCTGATCGCAGGTGATGATGAAAGGAGCCGTCGCGCTCAACGGAGCACTGGCAGCACCATAGCAGCGGCCTCCGTCGCACCATGCTGCAACGCTAGTGTTCGTGCCGTAGTTGTTGCCATCAACAAGGAGGTTGCTGATTGTACCAGCTACGGTGATGTTGCACTTGTATGAAGAGTCACATGCACCAGACACTGTGACACTTTGTTAGTCGATTGAATGGCTTGTGGGTAGAATGGAGCACTTACTGAGGCCATAGGCAGCACCAAGAACGCCAGAGAAGGCTTTGTCGATCACGCCCGGCATCGCGGGGAGGTTGTCGAGCGTGAGCTTGCCTTGTCCCTGGACTGGAGCGGAGAAGGTGGACGGCAGAGCAGTGGAAGCTGTAGCTGGAGCGGAAGTGGGCGCCGCAGTGATGGTAGCTACCGATGAGGCCTTGACAGATGAAGCTCCCAAGCTAACGTCGACGGCCAACAAGGTCGAAGACGAGACCTTGACTCCCAAAAGAGGTGAGGACGATCCACCGACATTGACACCAAGCAGAGGTGCGGTACCCGTAGTTGTGGCGGCTGCGCTGCTGGCCTTCGAAGTGATGACTGAGCTGGCAGCGCTGCTGACCTTAGAGACGATGGCAGAGCTGCTGGCCTTGGAAACTACCGCGGAGCTGCTAGCCTTCGAAACGACTGCTGCACTGCTAGACTTCGCAGTGACGACTGCAGCTGCGCTGCTGGACTTGACGGCTGCTGCGCTGCTGGTCTTGAGAGCACTGGAGGTCTTCGCGGTGGTAGTAGCGCGTGCGTCGAGGACTGGCGCAGCTGCAGCCAAAGCGCTGAAGAAGGTGATGGTAGCGAGGAGCTTCATCTTGACTGATGCAATGAACCGGGTGATTGATAGTAGTGATCGAGGAAGCGAGAGAGATGCCGAGGAGGACAAGAGATTAAGAGCGAAGGTAAAGCTGTGAAGCTTGTAGAGCGAGAGCTGGAGATGCTGAGGATGCCTTCTTCATGCAGTAGAACTGGCGGGTCTTTATGTGTTTCTCCAAGACGAAGGCCGTTGTCTTGGAGTATCCCTTGGACCAGCATCATTTGGATTTCCTCCTCAGCCACGACCTCGATCGATGTCGACGAGCAATGCAAATTGCAGTCTACTGCTGTGGTCTGGCCCTTCCCATCGTGAACGTGCCCTGGATCTAGAACTTTGGTATTCAGAACGGCCACAAAGAACGCTTGGTGTATGCCATCGGGATTGCGCGAGGCTGCCGGAGGTGGGTACCTGCTTTGTAGCACCTTTCATTGGTGCGGACCCGATCCGCGTCGCGCAGTTCTCCTGAGTAGCAACGTCTAAGCAATTCCAAGGTACGGGTGCCGTTCCGCCATAGGCTTGAGTTGAGCAACACGATCTGGAAGCGGGCACTAGCGCATTGCGCAAAGGGCTGGCCCGTCGACCTGGTTGCTTCATGATGCGACAAGGCGCCAAGCAGCCGATTTGCATTCGATCGGATACGGTCATTTTGATCGAGTGCCATGTAAGGTTTGGTGCTAGGACGGCTAGCACTAGTTCCCGCAACCATAAGTGCTCGCCAGAGATGGTGCCCAACGCGGGGTTGGCTTTCAGGGTGCAACACCTTCTCCATTTCTGATGATGCTGATGTACAAACAGGGTAAGGCCCTCTTCCCCACGATGCAGCCGTTAGATACGAAGGGACGTCTTCATGGATGAAGTGGGTCTTTGATCGGCAATCTTCCAGCGCTCTTGTCTTGCTTGATGGTTGAACACTTGACAAGACAGTCTCTCATGGATTTGGTGACTGACAAATTCAGGTCGAAGTCGTGATTGTTTGTTGGGATGCAGCCTCTATCACAAGCCTCCAACGACCTCACTGCAAGCCTCGAGCAGACAAGACACGCCGCCGATATCATCTCACTGCTCCGCGCAACGATAGCGCCGAAGGAATGAATGCACCTCTACATCGAATTGGAGTTTGGGCTCGTTTCGCGCCGACCATCGAAGTTGTAATCAGGAGCGCGCAACGATAGCGCAAATAGTGTTGGGTTGAAGCCTCGTTCTCGCCGGCATGACGGTATCATAGATCGTCACCACTAGCGTAGCGAACCGTTTGATCGACTTTCCACGTTTGGATCGGCGCAGGGGTGACATCTTGGTAGCGATCGTGGAATTAGTATGGTGAGGGGCGGGACGACTGCCGTGCGGACGATTGGCATGGTGCGCGTGAGTAACGCAATAGGTGCACTATGGATGCCTCTTCCGGAGGCCCCGCCTTGCGTTGTGCTGCGAAGGGGCTGGAGTTGTAGATGTCCAAGAGAACGTCAAGAAGTGCCTGTTCGATCTCCGCTATTGAGCGTGAGAGAGGGCGACGAGTCTCCCGGGGGTGTGCATCGTGTTGCTCCGCGCAGATTGTCATGCGTTCTCCAGCGATCCAGACTCTGCCAGGTGAAGTCGGCTTTGGGTCAGTGCACGTTGGCCTAAGCTTCACACACCTTTACACACTCTGCACTCAAGTGGAAGCTACGACTTGAGAACACAGTCGGCAACACCCGAGAGACCTCGGAACGGTGTTACGTCCAAGCTCAGCATAACGTTATTTGGAAAGACCAGGTACCTGGGTAGGATATGAGCGCGTGGCGTATGCAGGTTTACTAGTAGTGTATGCACGACGAGTGGGTGTGCCTGAACGCCTCAGGAATCAACCTATGGTCTGGCCCAACGTCATTTTCCGGAACTCTTCCCGTCGCGAGGCTAATCCAGCGCTGATGTCTCCAATTTGAACCCAGTGGACGACACACATAGTATTGCTTTGTTCGGTGGCTGCATGGAGAGGTTGATAGTACATGCACACCCAAGGAAGGCTGAAACCAATGGAAAGTTGAGTGCGGGTGTAAAATACACGGATGTGCCCCAAGGACTCTACTCCAACGCGCCTCTAGGGATTGGAGAAAATGGATGCGAACTGAACTGGCTGTACAGTGTTGATGATGCAGTTGCATATGCCATTAACACCCTTCGGATTCGCATCAGCAACCCCAAATGCCGTGTAGAAGTGCCGAACACTTTGAGTCAATGATATCGGCCTTTGTTAGAGATGACGCAGTAGTCTCTTAGCGAAGCGAATGATGTTTCCCAGCTGTGGACGCTACATAGTCAGAATAATTGTGCGTCCCCGGTAGCCAAGTGCGAAGAGAATGCAGATGCGACGAAAGGTATGGTAGGTAGAATGAGTGCCTTGTGAACGCTTAGTAGAGTTCATGTGATGTATCTCTTTCACCAGTGGTCGATGAGGCATAACCGCGATGTGTATCATAGCCCCTGCTTTAGATGGAGAGCCCGTCCTAGATAGGTATCGACCCGCCAAGAGAACGTCATGGAGACCCGTCCGCGCGCAGGCAGATCTGCGGGATGAGAAAAGTTGAGGAAGCGGAAACCGCTCGAGGGACGTCGTATTACATCGTGTGACCGCTGTCCTTCCGGGTGTAGAAACCAATGCTTATCCTGGCAAATGGGATTCCACTCGGTCGAGCCGTTCGCTCCTCCAAAACTGATCACAGTCCGTGGGACGATTCCTAGGCGGAAGGTCTCTGCGGTCGAAACAAAGCCCTCGGCTGAGTCTTCTCGACGACACCCCGTTGTCGGCGATCGTGGTATGAATGCGCTGCATGCTCATGCTCATGTTCAACGACCGCGTCCCCTCCCCCTCCCTCTCCCCCTGCCACCTCCTCTTCCTCTCCCCCCACCCTTCCCTCTCGGCGCCGACCTCTCATAAACTTTGACCTCGTCGAACGGAGCATCAGCAATCCTCAGATAGCTCGGTATACCATTATCCACTACCGCCACTACTACATTCCTGCACCCATGCTTCAGTCTCTGGTTTGGGTGGCCGCCATCGCCCTTGGGTCTGTCTTCCGGCACCTGTGCCATGAGATCATTTAGCTGTGCGCCTGTTGGTATAGGTGTCGAGCGCGCGTCGACGACGCATATGCGGAAGTCTGGGGGTCCGCGGGCGGATTTCTTGAATCGGGCTGTGGTGCGGTAGACGTCGAAGTGGACGCGGTATGGGTTGTCTGACGAAGGCGGGAGCATGAAGGTGGGTGGGACGGAGCGGTCGTAGGTGGGTATCAGCTTGAGTAGGCGGTAGACATCGTTGTAGCTTCGGTACAAGCCTGGCTTGATGAGCGGGCCAAAAGCGAGCTGCTCGGATGAGATGTGGTATGTAGGCTCACTCAGTCGACGCCACAGATCGGAGAAGAAGCGTGTGATGATTGCTGGCCCTGTTTCGGTCTTCTCTTCTGTCTTGGGCGGTGCTAAGACGACGTCTCCTCTGTCATGGTCCCATGTTCCTGTTCTGAAGATGACGTATCCCGATCTCTTCAGTCCTGCGTAGACGTTATACATCTCTAGTGTCAGCTTTCCACCGACGCCGCTTTCAAAACCGATGAAAGCAGCATATGCCGACTGCAAGCTCATTGGCGCGCCGTCTTCAGTCCTGTACACCGTCTTGTCGCCCACCTCTCGCTTGACCGGCCACCGAACATCCAATGTCCCTCGCTCGAGCAAGAACAAGGCTTCTTCTGGCAGTAACCATTCTCTTCCGCCTTTATTCGTTCCTATTGTCTGAAAGTGCTGTGAGCGGACCTTGTCGACGCATGCCATGTTGCGCTCCGGGTCGTACATGGCCAGGATGTGGCCCTTTTGCGTGTGCGTGCGCTGCCACGAGAGGACGCCGTGCATGGCCCGCCGCGAGGCCTCGAGGGTGTCAAGTTGAAGATTCGTCTCATGACTTTCAAAGTCCTTTTCGCCACGTTTGGGTAGTGTGGGATGTGCGCTGTCTTGTGCCCTGGAGTGATCATATCAGCATTGCGATCAAAGATAGCCAACATGTGAAGGCGTACGTGAGCTTGTCAAGCTTCAGGAAATCTTGCGCTTCCTCTGTGGGATCGTAGTCAGCAGCGTCAGGTACGCGCAAGTGCGACGCATCTTCGTCTGCATCGGCCATTGTTATAAATTTGAAGTCGTAGCGAGTGTCATAAGTTGGGATTTTGGTGATGGTGGGGAAGATTTGGAGAAAGTAAAGTTGCGACAAGGATCCATGACTCCCGCGGCGGCCCTTTGCGCTAGCGCCGGCTGACATCTCGCCTATACTTCCCCTATCACTATCACACCTCCTCCATGACATTCGGACCCCATTAGGATTCGATCGCTGTATGATGAGCTGCCTTCCCCGAATCCTAGAGATAACGCAAACGACAACCATTTGTGTAGGACCCAAAAGTGGACTTCTCACAGACGATCAGAGCGCTTCAGTCCTGCCAATAATGCAAGACGCCAGAAGCAGTCGAAAGAAAGGCAGCATGCAGTTACCAGGGCCTCGCGCATAGAGTCTAGATGCAAGACTTACCTACGTTTGTTCATCGCGACAGATACACTCAACATAGGTATGCCAAAGGTTGCATGTCGCGTAAAGCGTTCCCGCCAGCCGTGCGCCACTCCGCCTCGCGATTCGAGGAACGACCAACCACGCCTCTGCGACGCATGTCTTGAGGGTGCGCATACTTGTGTAACATACGCTGCAGTACAACTCATCAAGTTGCGGGGTAACATCCGTGGCTGTCGCTCTTAGGAAAGATGACATTCCTTCAAAGCCTCATGAATCGGTTCACTTAGCTATGCGTCGTTGAGTAAACTCACGTCTATCATTATCCCATCTAACTTATCCTCTTCTCGCGCGAGTTCATACTACGCTCATCTCGAGCAGCGGATAACAGTCCGGAGATGGCAAAGAAGAAAGGTCCCCCCAGTACATCCCGCATGTTCCCATCTCTACACCCAGACATTGCCCTCGCCGTCTCAGAACACATAACCCCACCACGCTTCAACGACAAAAACACCAGCCAAGGAACCAGCAAAACGTATTCAACTTTCGTCAAGGGCGAGTTCCGATGTTACGACCCCACCTGTCCGACACGTGGTTGGAGATGGACGAGTGGCAAAGTAGCCATATCAATACGACAGTATGCAGACGGCAGCTACAACGCCGAGGTATTCAAACAACGCTGCAAGCAGTGTGATAAGCTGGGAATTCTGAAGCTGGACAAATCCTCATATTTGGAACGAGTTTCATACCGGCTTTTGGTGTGGAAGGGTGTGAGATTAAAGCGGCCTCATTACAGGAAAAAGACGAGCAAGCCACACAAAACCTGGCTCTGCGAAGGTTGCAAGCGAGGAATTTGTCGAGAGGCTGATGGATTGGGTTTTGAGTAGGAGTGGAGATTTCGCATTTGCTAGTAGTGCACCAGCTGCATCAGTATCGCTATGACTACGTTAAGTTATGCAGAGACACCATGTTTAGACCTGTGTTGTTGTGTCACAGGCCTAGACAGCAGAGCTCACAGCCGCATCCGCCGCACTCGCCTTCCCCTTAGGCGCCTGCGCATCAAGCGGGACATTCAGCCCCAAGCGCTCCCTCGTAGTGTACGTCGCAATCCCACCGTTCGTATCGGCCTCCGTAACGAGCTCCTTGCGACGAGTATCAACGAGCAGACGGATGAGATCAGGACGCATGTAGTGGCCCGAGAAGTCAGCCAGCGCTTTGGTGAGGTGGCACTCGTTGAGATCGATCTGGGATATGTTAGTAGACTGGTAGGAGCGAGAGGACAGCGATAGAAGCTTACATCAACAAAGAGCAGACCATCAAAGTCCTTATCAGGCTTGCAGTAGAGACTGCCATCAGGGCGGTAGATACGCGCATGACCGTTGTAAGTACTAGGATCAGTCTCCGGTTCCACACCCTCAGGAGTCGTCTTCTTCAGCCCCTCCACACTCAACCGCTGGAAGGGAGCAAGAGTCCACGTGCCCGTCTCAATCGCATACGCCGGCGTAACAAGATCACTCGCCGGATCCGCCACATTCGTCGCCGGATCGGGATACTTGAGCGTCTCCTTGCCCGGGTAGACGGGCCAGGCGGCGATGTGGATTTGCTCGCCTTCGGACACGTTGAGCGCTTTGAGGAAGGGGTTCATGTTTTCCCAGCAGTTGAGCTGGCCGAGGCGGCCGAGTTCGGTGGGGGTTACGGATTTGAAGGTGTCGCCTGCGCCGTCGCCGTAGACGAGCTTCTCGACGTGTGTGGGCTTGATTTTGCGGCGGTGGTTTATGACTTCGCCTGTGGGATCGATTAGGGCCTGCGCGAGATACAGCGTTGCGTGATCGATCTCGGAGAAGCCGAGGGAGACGTAGCTGCGTGCGTTGTCAATCAGAGTCGCCACACCCATCTAAGACGACTACAACTCACATCTGGTTATCCCTCGCCGCACGGCGAATCCGACGGAACTCTTCCGAGTCCATAGGAAGCGAGTTCTCACGGTACCCCTTGAGCATGGGAAGCGATTGCTGGTAGTTGACCTTCCACATCCAGTAGGGATAGCCGGGGATCCATACTTCAGGGAAGGCGATGAGCTTGCAGCCTGCGTCGCCGGCTTCTTTGATGAAGTTGATGGTTTTTTGGACGCCGGCTTCGAGGTCGAACCAGCAGGGCTCGGAAGTGACCTGTAGTTTGATCAGATGGATGGAAAAGGGGAAAGTAGGGGGAAGGGGAAAAGTGGAAACGTACACACGCGGCCTTGTACTTGGTGAGAGGCATGATGGCGAGATGGAGACTTTGCAGTGGTGTGTTTGGATAGTAGATGGAAGTTGAAAGTATGATCGATGAATGATAGCCACAATCGAGCGTCCTCATTACCTCTTAAATACCCAAATCCGCATCTCCAACCCCCTCCTCTCTGGTCACACAACAGTCTCCATACACCATCACGCCCATTCTAGACAACTCACTGTTTGTCAGAGTAGCGCCAGGAGCATCTTCCCTGCAACTGGGCCTGCAGCCGGTTAATTGACGTGCTTCTGCGAACGTGGTGTGATCTGCCGATAACCAAATGCGAATGAGAGCACAGGAGCACTCGCAACGACTGCACCAGACAATAGAATTGTGGACTGATGTTCAACATCGACGTCGATGCGTCGTTACAAGCGTTGATGCCGCAGATGCCGCGACCCAGTGTTAGCGGCATCATGACGGTGCCGGTCGGCATCTCTCGCCGGGCTACGTCGTTGTACGACCCGAACGACGCCGTTAGTTGATGGAACGCGTGTTTGACTTTGATAGAAAGGCCGATGAGGAAGCGACAATTGTCCCTGTATCTGTCGGCGTATGGTCGTTTGCTGCTCGGAGATCGGGCACGTAATGCCGATGGATATCCGCAGACTTGGAGCTGTTGTCAAGAACATCGAAAACGACACGACCGAGAAAGATGACGAATTGAAGTTATACTAGTTTCTTCGCAGCTCCGTCTCCAGAACGAGGCCTATGCCTTGATGTTCGCTGGTTGCTTGTAGTATTTACTGGGAATGAAGGGCATCTTAGTCACGACAGCCTTCCTCTTCCTGCCACGCACAATGACCTCAACTTCAGTTCCTGCCTTGTGCATACCGTCCTTGACATAACCCATCGAGATGTTCTTCTTCATGGTGGGCGAAGGGCAGCCAGAAGTGATGGTGCCAATCTTCTCACCGGCCCCGTCAACAATCTCAGCACCCTCTCGTGCAGGCGATCCTTCTACAATGAGCCCGACACGACGCCGTGACACACCACCGCCCTCGGACTTCTTCTTCAGTTGCTGCAAGATGACGGAATCACCGTGGAAGCCGCCTTTTGCGCGGCGGTCCTTGCCGATGATCCAAGATAATCCGGCCTCGACTGGTGTGGTCGTGTCATCAAGATCGTGGCCGTACAAGCACATGCCCGCCTCTAGTCTGAGGGTGTCGCGCGCTCCTAGACCTGCGAAACGCAACTCATCCTTGGCGGAATCGAGCAGGAACTGGGTCACGGCTTCGGTGGCATATGCAGGAATGCTAATCTCGAACCCATCCTCACCCGTGTATCCACCCCTGCTGACGAGCACTTCGGCATCGGTGCCCTTGATGACGGCGTTGGCGCATTGACCGAAGTAGAGCGATTCGAGGTCCTTCTTGGACTTGTCGTCTAGCACGCGCGACAGTATCTCGGCGGACAGCGGGCCCTGGAGGGCGACCAGACCTTGGCCATCGAGTATGTTCCACTCTACGGGCTGATCGGGGTGTGCATTCTTCCAGGCCTCTAGCTGCGTCTTGAAGTAGGCCGTGTCCTTTTCCCTGCAGCCGGCATTGGTGACGACGTAGAAGCGGTCGGGGAGACGCGTGACAACCGTGTCGTCGACGATGCCGCCGGTGGAGTGCAGCAGTGTTGACAGCGTAGACTGGCGCACGGGGAGCGATGACAGCGACGACGGGGTGATGCTCTCGAGGAAGGCTTCGGCGCCAGGCCCAGAAAAGTGGTGCTGGACCCTGACCGAATTAGCGCTGAACGTGATTGGGGTACTGAACAACAGTATTCATAGGATTGATTCCGATTGAACATAGGGTTCTTCGTTACTAAACTTACATATGTCCAACGTCGAACAAGCTGGCCTTCTCGCGCGTCCAGTTGTGAGAGTCGATGATGCTCATGTCGCTGTACTGGACGGGCATGGCATATCCGCCAAATGGCACAAACTTGGCGCCATACTTGCTGTGCAGCTCGTACAAGCCTGTCTTGCCCAGTTGCTCGTTTGCGCCTTCCGAGGACGCATATCGGACCTGCTGCTGCGATAGTCGAGTGAGGTTGCGGGGACGTGGGGCTGGAGTCGCGCGCGTTCTTGTGGAGTAACCCGCGACCTGGGCGTACTCTGCCCTCCAAATGCGCGGCGCAAGACCATTGACGACCGGGCGCATCGCCAGAGCAGCTTTTTTCGAGGCCATCTTGCGTGGGTGAGGAGGAATTCTGGTGTTTGGTTCCCCGACGGGTATACACGGCCGACTATATATCGCCAATGACGGCAGCTCCCAGCACCCTAGGCCCCGACGAGGCCCAAGCTCCCCCGACTGGATTCCATCCACCGAAACGGCCATCGTTCCCATAACCGCCTATATCGCGCCCCGACCGCCCCAGACGAACCGCAGCAACCATGTCCAAGGGGAGCAAGTACCTGCTGGTGTCGCTGCCGACGTCCATCTCGCCCTCGAACCACCAAGACGACGCCCTGACTGCCCTGCGCTCCACCGTGACCAATGACGTGGGCACCACCTCGCCCTTTGCGATTCCCAACTTCAAGATCGGAACCCTCGATGCGCTTGTCCAGCAGGCGGATGATCTCTCCAAGCTCAACAATGCCTGCGAGGCGGTAGTCGCCAAGGTCGGCGACAGCCTAAGGCAGATACTCGACGGCGATGAGGGCAAGATACAACAGCAGAAGACGATCAACGACAGTAGGTGGACTGCGCAGTATGCGATTGTTGTCTAGCAGCTCACATGACGTAGAGCCTGTCGACCAGTATCTGCGCAACTTCCAGTGGAACAAAGTCAAGTACCGGGCAGACAAGTCCGTTGCCGAACTCATAGACGCACTGCAGAAGGTGAACACTACACACGTATCACGCTGTACCTTTAGCTGACAAGGACAGGAAATACAAGGCATCGACAACGACGTCAAGTCCAAGTTCAGCCAGTACAACCAGACCAAGAGCGCCCTCCAAGCCGCCGAGCGGAAGCGCACAGGAAACCTCGCGACCAAGTCCCTCGTCAACGTCGTAAACCCCAAATCCATCGTCCGCGACTCGGAATACCTCGATACGCATCTCATCGCCGTCCCGAACAACAACGTAAAGGACTTCTACAAAGACTACGAAGAGCTGTGTCCCATGGTCGTGCCCCGCTCCGCCAACGAACTGGCCAAAGACTCAGAATTCACTTTATTCGCTGTCACCACCTTCAAGAAGCATTCCAACGAGTTTGTGCACAAGTGCAGAGAGAAGCGGTGGACACCGAGAGAGTACCAGTACAAGGAGGGCAACAAAGAAGAGGAGGCCAAGGAGGCAGAACAATTAGCCAAGGACGAGAAGAAGCTCTGGGGCGAGGCGTTACGGCTGGGCCGCACAGGATATAGTGAAAGCGCCATGATCTGGATTCACGTCATGGCGTTGAGGGTGTTTGTCGAGACGGTGCTGCGATACGGTCTACCGCTCGACTTTGTATGCGGCATAGTCCAGGTGAGTTTGGCGTACCACGAAACCCACCACGTACCTGCTAACTTTCCCAGACCGATCCAAAGTCAGCGAAGAAGGCGAAGTCAAATCTCGATTCGGCTTACGCATACCTCGGCGGCAACGCCTTCGGCCGCGACAGCAAGGGTCGCATCCAGAAGGACGACCAGGCTCTGTCTACTGACATGGCACAAGCTGGTCAGATGGAGCAAGAGTACACGGCGTACGTGTACTACGAGTTTGAGGTGCTATAAGATGTTGTTGAAATGGCAACGACCGTTTGATGGGGGGGCAGCACGGCTTAGACTCATAGTTGGAGTTTGTAGATAGCTTTCCGCGAAAGCAGAATGAGAAACATGGCATATTACATTTCCGTCCATGCTGATCAACGTGCAGCGCAAATTTGGGACAGTCTGCAAGTTGTTCACATCAATCACATTTTCCGATGGCTCCCTCCAGAATCTGGACCGCTACATCCCCTTCCAACCAACCAATCCATTGGACATGGCCCGGATACTCCCCTCAGTTTCAGCGCCATACGCCCACTTCATAAATACTTTTCGATCAGCTGATATCTCAGCTGTGGTACCGGTAGAAACACGAGTCTGAACGCTTGGAAGAAGAGCGCATGCGATGAGGTGATGCTAGATTGAGTGAAGGAGTACGTGTTGCGGAGTTAGCACTGTCAGATCCGATGTGGCTAGGGCGGTGGCAGAATCTTAGCGCGCCTGGCGTGAAAGTGCAACTTCTAGAAAAAAAGTTACCCGCACCCAATCGCAATCTGACCAACACCGAATCGCCCACCATGCCGTCCACTCACAATGCGGAGAAGCCCTGGGATACCGATGACATCGACAAGTGGAAGGTACGTTCGCGCCAGAATTGCGCGCATGCAGGAAATCGCCTCTAACGCTCGCGCAGATCGAGCCCTTCAAGCCCGAAGACAACACGGCCGGCGCCTTCACCGACGAGTCCCGCTTCAGCACGCTTTTCCCTAAGTATCGCGAACAGTATCTGAAGGGATCATGGAAGTTCATCACGCAAGCGCTGCAGAAACAGGGTGTGGGGTGTGAGCTCAACTTGGTCGAGGGCTCCATGACGGTATGGACGACGCAAAAGACATACGACCCGGCGGCGATATTGAATGCGCGAGACCTGATCAAGTTGCTTGCGCGAAGCGTGCCGGCGCCGCAAGCTGTCAAGATTCTGGAGGATGAGGTGGCCATGGACATCATCAAGATACGGAATCTCGTCGGAAACAAAGATCGCTTCGTCAAGAGGCGGCAGCGCATATTGGGGCCAAATGGATCGACGCTGAAAGCGCTGGAGTTGCTCACGGAGACTTATCTGCTGGTGCAAGGAAACACAGTCGCGGCTATGGGTCCGTACAAAGGCCTCAAGCAGGTCCGGCGCATTGTCGAGGACACGATGCACAACATCCATCCCATTTACGCGATCAAGGAGCTCATGATTAAGAAGGAGCTCGCCAAGGTAGGCCCTCCATGCGCAAGCTATACGAGAAACCCATACTGACCTTACCCAGGACCCCGAGCTAGTCAACGAGAGCTGGGACCGTTTCCTCCCCAACTTCAAGAAGCGCTCCCTCAGCAAACGCCGCGTACCCCACAAAGTCACCGACAAGACAAAGAAGACATACACGCCGTTCCCGCCGCCGCAGGAGAAGAGCAAGGTCGACCTGCAGATCGAGAGCGGAGAATACTTCCTGGGCAAGCATGCAAAGGAGAGAAAGGTGCAGGAAGAGCGGGAAGACAAGATGAAGGACAAGATGGACGCAAAGCGGAAAGAGAGAATGGCCGAATACGTTGCGCCGGAGGAAGATGGCGGGGAGAAGAAGAAGAAGAAGCGGAAACGGGAAGAGGGCGAGGGCAAGGAGAAGAAGAAGAAGAAGCGCAGCTCCGAGGGCGAGGCGGCTTGATCTGTAATATGCGAGTTTGACGCTGCAGTGTGTCGCGTTGCTGGAAGTGGAGTATGGGCGCATTCCTTCTTGTTGGGAGAACACCATAAAAGCATTGACAGGTGTTTAGGTTAGCTTGATAAGTTCAAATACCCAATTCTGTATTACTACCATTACGTCTCGCTCAGTTGACGCTTCTCGCGCTCAAGTAAGCCAACGGCTTGGCGCTCTATACTTAGCGACACATGCCAAACGTCTTGCGTCTCATCCGCCAACATGCCATCTTACGCAACTCGACTGCGCACGCTGTTCATCATGTTGACACGAACCCATATTAACAGGCTGGTCAGTTCTCGTATGCCCTTACCGGAGTCAACCCACAATGCGGAACCGTCTCATTTTCTTCGCCTACGCTGCACGCGTTGCGTCTTCGACAATACCTTGGCGTGAACAATGCTGGCAACAAAGTCCGCTCTACACCCTCTCTCTCCAAACCTCACTTGACGGATCCCAAGACTATGCATCCTGCTCTCCATCATCCCTCCTCTCAGACACACGAAACAAGAAACAAAACTCACCCTACGCACCATGGTCCCACCAACCCCTCTGCACCCCCCATCTCTCCGGGATAAATGATACGCTCTGCATCTACACAGACGTTACCTTCAGCCAAGGCCGCGGAATCTCAATCGTCACAACACCATCTCTAGCCCGGGAATTCGCCTCCTTACCCGCTTTCCTTGATCCCTCAGCCCTTGCTTCGGATAATGTCAATACACCAAGCGATGTCTACACCACAGCCCCCCTCCCCGGAAAAGGCATCGGCATGCTCGCCACCCGGTCCCTCAACTTCGGCGATGTAGTAACAAGCTACACACCGGCCTTTATCGCATATCTGGAATCTGAACTCTCGACCCTAGATCGGGAGAAGCTTTGGCGCATCGCGATCGAACATTTACCCAGGGAATTGAAAGAGAAGTTTTTGGGCTTGGCGACGGTGTATGGTGATGAGAGGGTAAAGGTGCAGGATGTGGTTAAGGCGAATACGTTTCAGGTGGTTGTTGGGGGAGCGAATCATCTGGCGGTTTGGCCGGAGACGAGTCGGTTGAATCATGCGTGTGCGCCGAAGTATGTTGTTCCTTTCACGCAGATCCATCAAGAGGAGATGGATAGGGGATGAAGAGGGGATATGCAGCGTGCATGCTGACCAGGTGACAATAATAGTGCGCAATACGTCATCGACACCAACCTCTTAACGCATACAGTACGTGTTACACGACCGATTGCTACGGGCGAGGAGATCACGATATCGTGTAAGCTTCCTCTCTCTTCTCAACGACAAGATTGCTCTAACTCCCGCAGATACCTCACCCCTGGAATCAACATCACAACGACAACAACACCTACAATCCGGCTTCCACTTCACATGCACCTGCCCCCGCTGCCAATCCCCCTCCTCCGACGCCACCCTCTCACACATCTACGCCCTCCAATCCCAACTCAACGACTGGTCACCCACTTCCTCAGCTTCACCATCTATGGCGGAAGGCCTGCTAACGATCTACCGCGGAGAAGGGTTGGAAGGCTTCATGGATGTAGCCTATGGTTTTGCGGCACTGGCGTATAGTGCTGTTGGAGATGCCGACAAGGCAGTGGAGCATGCGCGGAAAGCGAAAGAGGCGATTGAGATGAAGGATGGGGTTTGGACGGAGAATTGGGGGGTTTGGGAGGGGTTGATGAGGGATGTGGACGGGCATTGGAGTTGGAGGCGGAGACTTTGAACAGCGTTGAAATAGGGTGAAGATAAAGCAAATCTGTCAACGTGTCTCGCTTTAGGTATTATCTTCGAGGAATCCTTCTTGAGCGAAGGTGGAAAAGAGAGATTGACAGTCATGCCCACAGATATAGTGATTTCGCAAGGTTGGATTCGCGGAAACGTTCCTCTAGATCAACCTACTAGACCTCTAGAATAGAGTTTCTGACATAGGATCCTCACCAAGAGGCAAAAAGAGCAAAAAAGAAAGGACTTTAGTGGTCACTACGAGGGTCGAACTCGCGACCTTGGCGTTATTAGCACCACGCTCTAACCAACTGAGCTAAGCGACCGATGTTGTCTTGTCATTGGATGAAAAAATTCGAAAATATGAAATACTTATAGTACGCATCATTTGGAGCCATCACGAGCAGCAACTTCGTAGCGGGGGCTTAGGGAAGTCTGCAGGAAGGTGGGGTACTCTAGACGGAAGGAGTTGGGAAGAACCTTCCGCCTTGCGCATTCTTGCATTATTACTCGTGTGTTCGAAGCAATGTTAACCTCTCTTCCGATTACTTAAACCCAGACACAACGGACAAGCTACCTAACTATCGTTCGCACTCTCTTTCTTAGTCTTAAACGCCTATCGTAACTGCTTCTCGCGCGTATGCGTAGTCTCTATAAGATGTTAAGCTTAGAAAGCGACCGCTATATCTTCGATTTTGCGGCTTTGTCGCTGGGACAGTTAAATACATATAGGTAGCATAGGAGATCCTTGTTGTTGACGGTCGAGTCGGTCCTGTCGATCTAGCTCTTCATGAAGCCCTGCTACTCTTCCTATATCCTAATCCTATCTTATTAACCTAAATAATCTGGAGGATGTAATCAGGTGGGTAACCCGTCCACAGGCTTGGCTTGAGTTACTTTGCCTCGAGAACGCCCGCGTTGAGCTCTTCCACGTCGCTTTCTTCTACTTCGTCCTCGTTAGACTCTTTACCTAGGTAAGTAGCTGCTCTGTTTGCAGGAGAGGCGCCTTAAATTTGGCCCCCGCCTTCGCGATGGGGACTTAAGCTGTGCTAGGGTTCGAAGGCGGCTTGTAAGCGTTGCAGAGAAAGGAGGTCCTTACCGCTGACGTGGAGATCTAGTATAGGCTGATTGAAGCAGACGCAGTGGTATCAATGAATGAAGATGTCGTTACATTGCACCCGGGAGATGTCAGTACGTTATCCTTGCTTGAACAAGACGGTAAAATTACTGCGAGTACCTCCTGGCTATGCTTTGAAAGTACGTTACTGCTTCCAGCAGTCATTGAAGCCCTACAGGCTGCAGCGAAAAGTATGGCAAAGTATGTTCTCGGAGTTCATCGGGCGCCACCCGACTTGGAACGCCTCGTTTGGCTCTCAACTACCAACGAGTCGGTGGAGGCGTTAATCGATCGCATTGGGCAGCACCATTCCCATTTCCCGGGTTTAAGCGGCGCGCTGGCGTGGTGCAATTGTATGGAGGAACTTGTAAATTCGGTTGTGTTGTCTTCCTGCGCCTGCGCTGGGCGCCTTGCTTGATATTGCATGTTTCACAAGCCTTGG